ATGTCTGTTGTGTATATATATATATATATATATATATATATATATATATGTATTCAAGTTATTCCTTTGTACCTAACCCAGCGGGTATGTTTGTACAATAAAGGTCTTCATTCTTCATTCATCAATGCAGTTTATAGTGTCTAAGATGCATATCCTTACTGTTCTTTAAAGCAACAGCTAATTCTAAATTTTATCAAATATAAACTCTCTCTTCTCCCATGCATGTTGTTTTTGAGAGAAGAGCTCAAACTAAACTTTGCTCTTGTTTGTCGTTAAACGCACAGGTACGGAAACCTTGACCCTTGGCGACTGTTCAAGTACGGACCAGACCACTTCCGGCAGGTGGTGGAGGAGATCGTCGGGCCACTTCCTGTTCTCCAGCCCGAAAGCCGAGATGCTGAGACGCAGACACACGAGTTAAGCTGTTAAATTTAACAGGCAGGGCAAGAAACTCGTGAGCAAAGACACTAAAATAACGTATATTGATGATGTAGCTATGGAAGCTCAAGTAGTGAGATTAGGAGAACGCTTAGTTTTGGCTAGTTTGGATTTAAATCTATCAATCATCAAATGACAAAGCCATAAAATGATCGTAAGAACCATCTGTCTTTTAACACAGGCAGCAGATGTTGTCATTAAGCGTACTTTACTCCTTTAATCCCCAAGCAGATCATATGGTGGCAAGGCAATATCCACTGGCCAGAGGAGTGTGGTGGCTAATAGATACTCCTCTGACCAATGGATACTGTCTTGCCACCGTATGATCTGCTTGGGGGTTAGACTACTTAGACAACTCATCCAGTTGCTTGATTTATGTTTTATCATGTAACGGTTTACATGGATGTCTTACCTTTATTAATGCATTGAAATACTTAAACCAAGATATGTTTTGCATTTAAGGAGCAAAACATTTCAACAGTATGATCATGAAAGATGGCCGTTCTCAATATTTGTCATTTTATGCCAATTTTTGTATTCCTAGCCTTTATAGCTGTGTATGTGTGCCATTAAACTAAAGCATTGACCTATGAAATGTCTGAATCGCTTAATTGAGTGCTCCGATACAAATCCTATATGTTACTCGTGGATAACACAATGCCTTTATTTTGTTAAACAGATCCTTGATTATCATAGGCTGGACTTTGTTCAATAACAACGCTCACTGCGTCACATCTCCACGAGACTATTGATATCATGATTGTCTACATTTACAGTTACTTTGAATGTCCCAGTTATGACTAATGACAAAAAGGCATATTTCTATATCATCCATTTGGCAGGTCCGTAGTTTGAAAATTCTAATTATCATCGATATGGGTGTTTTGGCTAAACATTGCAAGTCGCATACCTATTGTTTACGAGCCAGGGGTCTGCCCTACAATCGACCAAACAAACACGTTGTTTGCTCAACACAAATACCACGCCATGATGACATGGTAACTGCACGCAAGGTGTTACGTAAGTGCACTTTGAAACGAATCCCTGATTGGCCCAATCTGAGGTGAAGAGTTCATTTGTATCATGAGTTGAATCTGCGTGAGAGGGTCCTGTCGTCTCATTCCTGCATAAGTATAGCCCAATGGTTGACATCGACAATTGACTACTACAGACCATTGAACGTCTTACAAGAGTAGGTGAGTCAGGTCATGCTTCCCTATAGTCGTATGAAGTCAAGGATAGGAAAGGATATCATGATTGTTTACATTTACATTTACTTCGAATGTCACAATTATGACTAATAATAAAAAAGACATGTTTCTATATCATCCGTTTGGCAGATCCGTAGTTTAAAAAATTCAAGGTGTCATCGACATGGTTGTTTTCACTAAACATTGCTAGACGCGTAAAAAGTGTTTACGAGCTCGGAGTTCGCCCTACCATGACCACGCAAACCCGCTGTTTGCTCAATATCAACGCCAAACCATGATAAAATGATAACTGCATGCAAGGTGTTACGTCAGTGTACTTTGAAACGAATCCCTGATTGGCCAATTCTGAGGTGGCGTGAGTGAGACGTTTTTTTTTCAAGAGTCGCCACCATTTAGATTGCACACCAAAGAGTTCGAAAACACTTGAATGTGCTCTGCAGTAAAGACTGTTAGATTAACATTTTGTCCGGCCTTTCAAGCATCCCCAAGACCACCAGTATAAAGGTAAGCCTACCAGGCAACTTATCCCGGGCGTTGTTTACATTTACTACGTTGTAACTCTATTTGCAGACGATGAATAGTTGGCTTTTTGTACAATATATCGTACATGTGATACCTGTAGTGACCTAGCAAAAAAAGACGAAAAACAGAATTAAGGTGGGAGAGGGTGCACTAAATTCAGGAGAGCCCGCTAAGTATGATTAGCCTCCCTGGTGCAATGCACTACATTTTGCCAAATTCGTGATCAGGTCTGTACTATATATATTTGGTCAAGGATGTTAGGCACAGCTTACAAGTATACAGCATCATTAGGAGCAAGACTACGTTTCGCATCATGACGAGGATATTGTTGTACATTGTAGTGATGATAAATATGTGACATGTATGCACAAGCTTCAATTGCAATAAATCAAGTTGCTAAACTAAATGGACATGAGTTTGATGCATTTCTGTTGGAGTTCAATGGGGAATCATTTCTTAAGTCAATTCAATATCATTTCTTGGTCAAATTGTCAAAATATATACCTGCAACAACTTCAGCTGTAATTTCTGCTTTCAGACACCCACCAAACGCTGTCACTGAAAATCTACACTGATGGCGAGGTTATTTCCGGAAATAGAGGTATTTACCACCGGAAATGAAAGCATATGGAGCCTCGATTGGATAAAGAACACACCATTGAAGTTTGCGAAACACATGAAAGTGTTGGACCTTACAGGTATTGGATTTAAAAATACCCGACAATTTTACAAGAATGTGTTTGTCAAGACCACTAACGCAGTGATTGACAAACTTGAAGCTGATGGTGTCGTTCACATTGGTCTGATGTCTCTTCTTCTGTACTCCGATCAAAGTTCGAATGTACAAAGAGAGACTTACATGACTGGGTGTTTGTTGGCAGCAGAATGCATCGCAAGGATTCTCGCTCGAGTTACTGTTGATCATATTGTCTTCCAAAATTATGATTGCCTTCAGCAAATTTACGCAATATGTGCACAAATCAATGTTTTGCGCGTACAAAATCCCATCCACATTCACTTCTTAAATGGTACGACATATTTCGTTGCTACAACCGATCCATGCCGGCCCCTGCAGCTCAAATTTTGTCCAACTGAATCGTATAACCGAATTTACGACAGGTTCTGTTTGAACCTACACCTAAATCCTAAAAAGATGAATGTTACTACTGTTAGTGAACAAGAATGGTTTCCACCTGCCGTATACCGACCTTCTAACGAAGATCATGCTGATACTTGTAACATGTTATCGGTGCATATCATGATGAACCTTGATCGTCATAAGAGCAACATTTCCTTGGGGGCATCGCGAGACCTGTCGTTAGAAGACTTTCCAAACATTAAAGTCACCTGTTACTTTGATTCTCTATACATTCATATAGTAAAGCTGTGCAGTAACCTGGAAATAGCATCTGAGCTTGAGTGGCCAATACAGATGACATATCGGCATAGTGCCACTATAACTAAGGACGCAAAGTCCGCTTGTTTTGACTCATGGACAAATCGGAATCCAAATATATATTCTCCCTTTGGTAGTGAACGGAACCCTCACAACCTGTTGAATTTATCTGAGTCACTACAGAAGATTTCACCTTCCCGCTGTGTCACAGTTGCTATCCTGGATACAGGGATTCTCTGTTGCCATGAGGAATTCCATGGAAAGATTGCCGCTATCAAGAACTTCGTGCCGAACGAAGCGAATGACCTCTGCTATGACTATAATGGTCACGGGACGAACTGTGCTTTTATTGTGCTCCAGACCGCTCCATTCGTACGTTTGGTGATCTGTAAGGTGATCAGCAGTCAAGGTCACGGTCAGCTAAAATGGGCGGCAGACGCCGTCGATTGGTTGTTGAAAGACGAGTCCGGCCCCAAGAACTACTGCCCAGTTGACATTATTTCCATGTCTTTCGGAGGCAGCATATTTGACATTGACTTAAAACGGGCGGTTTCTGAAGCAATCTCTCAAGGCAAAGTGGTGGTTGCTGCCGCAAGTAACGATGGGAGAAAGAAACTCACGAACATCGCCTTTCCCGCGAGATTTGGGGACGTGATCTGTGTGGGAAGCTGTAACGATTTGGGCCAGCCGTCTTCCTTCACGCCAACCGGACGTGAGATCGACTTTCTCGCACACGGAGAAGACATATATATACGTTCTCTCAGTTCAATGCCCAGATCCGGAACATCAGAAGCGACGCCACTAGTTGCTGGCATCACAGCCATGGCAATTTCGTACGCAGAAACCACAGGTACGACAGTTTAGCTCTGAATGATATTTTTTATATTGCCCAGTTACAAAGGCATATGGGGGATACTCAACAATTGCATGATACATATAGCTTCTTGTATGTAGCCTGGAGTCCAACCTTGTAAATTTAGTCCGCTCCCCAAGCTAATGGGCAGCGGACTGGACTCCAGGCTAACTTGTATAGTAGTTTTGAAAGCTTGCATGTGTATTTACCAAAGACTGCCGTACAAAATGTAATTGTATATTGATATCTAGGGACTTTCTTATGTACTGTCTTTTTATGCACTTTCATTATATACAACGATTGTGTCCCTCCAGGTGGCCAAACGATGAGATCTACCGTCTGCCACACAACTGTCATGCGCGAAATTCTTCGCAAGATGGCGTCCATGCCTGGTCACCACGACGAGCACATGGGGTGAGTTTGAAAACATAAACTAGTGTAACTGTTTGTTAACTGCACAGCATAAGCTTTAAACGTATTGTCATTTGAAATTTTGCAAAATATAGTTTCAAGCTCCATCTCATCAGGCTTGTAACAGCCATGTAAATTGGAAAAGTAGTGAATTGTGTGCTTTTTTTTTACACAAGAAAACAATTACTTAAGCAAATGGATAAGTTTCAAAAACTGTCAGACGTTTTAAGTAGCATCCACTACTTTTCGTCTGTGACTGAACCAACCTTTTTCGACATTTTCTTGTTTGCCAATAAACGCACAGGTACGGGAACCTGGACCCTTGGCGACTGTTCAAGTACGGACCAGACCACTTCCGGCAGGTGGTGGAGGAAATCGTCGGACCACTTCCGGTCAGTCAGCAGTTTGCCGCGGCGCAGCCGCACCCACCTGGTAACAAACGGGAGCGACAACGGAGAGCTAGCGACTCAGAAGTTGAACTGCATAGAGGAAGTGAACGCTAGTAATGGAGTAGTCATGGAGACTAAAGAATTTAGTACTGTAAACCTGTGTTTTCCGAACAATTGCAGTAATTAGTGTCCCTCCCTCCGGACAAAGAATGCCACGCTTACCTTTCTAGACGAATAGAAAAGAATTTGAGTTAAAGTTGAGTCAGATTTGACCCCTCAACACGCCCCAAACCCTGCTGACTATTCCAGAATGGTTCGCTGGTGTCCTGCAGACTAACAGCTTAATACCAGCCAACAAGCTAGCCAATCCCTAACCATCACCCTTTTGTGATTACAATCAGCATACTTCAGCGAAGCAATCACTACTTTACCTTGCGGACCTTGGAACTCACATACCTGGGGTTTAGAAGGTTGGCCTACCATGACAAAACATACACTTTGCTCAATGCAAATACCATGCCATATGGACACGGTAACTGCACGCAAGGTATTAGGTGCTGCAATGCAATGTGAACCAGTCAGAATTGCCCTAAGGAAGGCGACAGACGGTCACCGAAACGTCGGCTGAATAAAAGACCTGGTTGTGTAAAAAAGAGTCTCTTTACTCAGTGCCTTAACAACCTGATGAAACTATTCAGTGAGGTGTTACGTAAGTGCACTTTGAAACGAATCCCTATAAATTGGCCAATTCTGAGGTAGTGTGAGTAAGACGTTATTTTTGCAAGAGTCGCGCAGTTGAATGGTGACACATTAGAAAAAGCCTCATTGCATAATACATATTCAGGTGCCAGGTATATACAAGGGCATTTTATTTAAGAGAGATTAAGAATGTAAGAATCACTAAAATCTTGCATCAGGGACTTTCCTGTCTACGGTTACCACGTACCATAGTTATTGACAAACGTCATTTCCGTTGAGTGCACCACGTGACCAGTATAGACCAATCGTGGACCAATTATTCGAAAGGGGATTCCCCCAATCGATATGAATAAACACGGGGGTTTCCGTCTCGCCATTTTGACTGCACACCAAAGAAAGAGGAAACACTTGTGATTACCTTACAGTAAAGACTCGTTGGGTGACGTTTTGCCGGACTTTCAAGCATCCCCAAGATCACCAGTATAAAGGTAAGCCTACCAGGCAACTTGTCCCGGGCACTGTTTGCTTCTACTGCATTGTAAATCTATTTGCATACGCTTACATACCTGGCTCTTTGTATATGTACATGTGATACCTGTAGTCAAACGTCTAACCTGGCAGGTATGACGTCTTCTCAAAACCCGTGCCCTACGGAGTCCATATATATATATATAGATAGATAAATAGATAGATAGAGAGAGAGAGAGACTCAGAGAGAGAGAGGAGAGAGAGAGATACCGCCCTGTATATGCATAATTTGGAGGTATTTCTTGTGCAACGCATCCCACCGCAGCGAAATGCAACGAATACGGAAGTAACTACGCCACCGCAGGGCAAACAAGTCAAGGGGCTATGGCCTGGTTAGGACATCAAATTTTTGTAAAATATTGTGTAAAATGCCGGCAGGACAAGAGTTGAAAAAAAAAGAAACACAGAATAAAGGAGACCCTCACAGGGGTGGGGGGGTGTTGTTAGCAATAACGCCCTACACTAAATTCAGGAGAGCCCGCTATTAAAGTATGATTAACCTCCTTGGTACAATGTACTACATTTGGCGAAATTCGTGATCAGGTCTGTACTATATATTTGGTCAAAGATGTCATATCCTATAAACCGCCTTGGTTTGGCACAGCTTACAGGTATACAGCGTTATTAGGAGGAAGACTAAGTTTCGCATCATGACCAGGATATTAATTGTGGTGCTAAATCGATTTGCTACAATAAATGGAGGTTCGTTGGGAAATCGTTTCTTGATTATGTCTTGTTCAAATGATAAAATATAGCTGTAATAACCTTGGCTGCATTTTCTGCTTTCAGACACCAAACGCTTCCACAAGCTCCATTCTTGTTGCAAAGTCGGTAAATCTACTGTGATGGCGAGCCTATTTCATGAAACAGATGTCTTCACGACCAACAAGTCTAACCTATGGACCATCGAGTGGCTAAAGGACACATCATTGAAGTTTGCGAAATACATGAAGGTGTTGGACCTTACTGGTATTGGATTTGAAAATAATTCCCACATTCAACTACTTGACGAGGATACGTTTATCAATACCACTAACGCAGTGATCGACAAACTCCAAGCTGATAATGTCGTTCACATACGACTGGTATCGCTTCGTTTGCCTGAATATCCGTATGTGAAAGAACAAAAGAAAAAGGAAAGGCCACAAGGTCTGTTGGTAGCAGAATGTATCGGAAAGATTCTCTCCAGGGTAGCTGTTGATCACATTTACTTTCAAACTGGGGGCTGCCTGGAACAAATCTACATGATGTGTGCCCAAATCAATGACATGCGCGTACAAAACCCCATTCACGTTCACTGCCCTTATAGGGAGTCTGCAAGGCGCTACTGTACAACCAATCCATGCCGGCCCCTACAAGTTAGACTTTATCATTTGACAGAGTATCCAAATCGATCGAAGCGGTCAGGTCCAGATGACGAATTCTGCTTGAATGTACGCCTTAATCTTAATCCTAGAAAAACGTGTGCTGACGACTCTGGGCATACCGAACACCCATCTGACGAAGATCATGGTGATACCTGTAAGATGATAACAGTGCACATCTCTATGCACACGTTCATTGACCCTACAGGAAGATCCGCCTTTGGGTTAGAATTAAGAACATCGCAAGGCCTGTCGTTAGAAGACTTTCCAAATATTGACGTCATCCCTCATTACGGCGAGAATAACACTATGAATCGTATACATCGTCAAAGGGGGGAAGTCACCTCTGTGACAGTAGAAATGTGCCGTGAGCTTGGAGTAACATCTGTGCTTGAGTGGCCAATACAGGTGTCCTTGACGTATGATGACACCATAGCTAGGGACGCAAAGTCCGCTTGTTTTGACTCAAGGGAAGGTGGCTATAGCCATCCTTTGACGCGGAACGATGACGCAGACTCTTTATCTGAGTCGCTAGAGAAGATATCCCCTCCTCGCTGTGTCACAGTCGCTGTCCTGGACACAGGGATTCTCGCTTGCCGTAGTGAATTCCTTGGTAAGATCGCTGCAATTAAGAATTTTGTGCCGAACGAAGCGAATGACCTCTGTTATGACTATAATGGTCACGGAACGGGTTGTGCAGGTATCGTGCTTCAGACCGCTCCTTTTATACGGTTGGTGATCTGTAAGGTGATGAGTAGTCAAGGATGCGGTCAACCGAAATGGGCGGCAGATGCCATTGATTGGTTGTTGAATGACGAGTCCGGCCCCAAGAACTACTGCCCAGTTGACGTTATTTCTATGTCGTTGGGTTGGAACTCCTTTGATTCCAACCTGAGACGGGCAGTTTCTGACGCGATTGCCCAAGGCAAAGTGGTGGTTGCTGCCGCAAGTAACGACGGGAGAAGGCATGTGACAAATATCGCCTTTCCCGCGAGATTTGGGGACGTGATCTGTGTGGGAAGCTGTAACGATTTGGGCCAGCCGTCTTCCTTCACCCCAACTGGACGCGAGGTCGACTTTCTTGCACCTGGAGAAAACATACAAGCCCCAGGTTCTGACGGCTTTGACCAAGTCAAAATCATGTCCGGAACATCAGAGGCAACACCAGCAGTTGCCGGCATCGCAGCCAGGGTGATTTCCTACGCTGAAGATATAGGTATTAATAATGCTATATTTAGTTTCTCTTTATATGATTTTACAGATATTACTTACTTTTAAAGTTGTTGAAATGAACTGTGATCTCTATAAGTTCTTCAATTTTCGTCACGAAGTGGGTCACAAAAAGCTTCGTTATTAATTCGAAAAGGTTGTAAGTTGATATCTTACAATGTTGACCATGGAAATTGTCCCTCTAGGTGGACAAGAGATGCGTTCTGCCGTCTGCCACACAGCTGTCATGCGAGAGGTTCTTCGTAAGATGGCGTCCATGCCTGGTCACCACGACGAGCACATGGGGTGAGTTTGAAAACATTAACAGTTGTTACACAGCATAAATTTGTTATTTGCAACATACTATTTAATTGTTTGCAAAAGATGGGGTAAGATCACTAATCTAAGATACTTCTATTTACTGTTCTGTTAAACAACATGTAAATGTAATCAGGCACTTAACTCCACCACCTCCCACCCTTGTTGTTTTGAGAAAAGAGCTAAAAGAATATGTTTATGTTTGTACAGGTACGGGAACCTGAACCCTTTGAGACTGTTCAAGTACGGACCAGACCACTTCCGGCAGGTGGTGGAGGAGATCGTCGGGCCACTTCCTGTACCTCAGCCCGCACGCCGAGATGCTGGGACACAGACACACGAGTTTAACTGCTAAAATAAAGCAGGGCAAGAAACTCGTGAGCAGGGACACTAAGATAACGATAGTGATGAAGTGGGCATGGGAACTAAAGTTTAGAACTCAGAACTGTAAATATCTCAGAACTGTACACCTCTCAGAACAATAGTAGAGTAGTATAAATGAGAGAATAAGTAGCGTGCGTAATCCAGTGGTTAGTGACCCTGCCTCTGGACCAAGAAGTCATGTGTTTGAATGTTTAGCTGTATGTAAGTCGAGGTCCTTAGGGCGGGACGTTAAGCCATGGTCCACTGATCATTGTACTTGTCAACAGGAGCTATTGGAATTTTTCCGGTACAATGAACCTGTATATACTGTACGTCATCGGTACCTCAACTGTTGATTGATTTCATTTCGGTTAAACTGGTAGAAGATCCCTTTTATTTTTCCACTCTTAACGATCGAGTGAGAAAACATTGAGTACGAGCGGAGTATGTTAGAATTAACCAAGATAGAAATACCCAATGTATATCATTAAGTATCAAAATTGAATAAAACATTTTGACCACTAGTATGATGACTCCAAGAGATCTTGGTAATCTGCCTTTTTATATTGTTTATGGTGATATGTTAAACTGTAAGAAACTAGAAGAGACACCCGATATCGTGGAATAGAGTCATAGCCAGTAAACTTGATATACATTTTTGGTGCTGTAAATAATGATTTATAATCTGATTTCCTCATCTAGAATATTTTTGCTTGCTTTGCTGCCTTGAAATTGTATTGGATATATATTGATAATTGGTTAATTAAAAGTACTTCCATCCTGCAGACCTGCAACAACTGGCAGATCACAGTTTAACGTTTCTTCTAGGTCGTCTAGATTTGCGCTCGAAGACTTTTCTTTTGATTATCCTAAGTGGATTTGTGTTTCTTCCTGAAACTGTGCCAGCCTCACCCCTCGCACCCCCTCTCCTCAAACCTCTACTCTGCATCTGTGACGCTGTTTTGACGTCGCTTCCTTCAGAAGAACCGGGTAAAACTTGTCCTAAGTTGTCACGACGAGGAACCGTCCAATCCCAGTCGTCATCGTCACTTTCAGAACCCGACTGAATCGCCTCAGATTCACTCAAGATCCTCCTCTGTCCTTTATTAGTGGCATGGTCTGGGTTAAGACGGTTGGCAGGTATTTCGTCCTCTTTTATGATGACTTCAGCGTCGTCGATGTATTCTGGTAGCGGGCTGGCGGAGGAGATGGTTGATCTTGAATCGTGCATGTTCTCCGGTCTCTGGATAGTTGTCGGCACCTCACGGTGTAAGTTGTCATTCCACTCGGTCTTCTGTATAGGCAGGAATGACTTTTCCATGTCTGTGCTCTTTGGTTCGTTTGCATTGCCGTTAGTCTGTGAGATGTGGGCAGTTACTACTGTTGGTTTTGTCGCTGGTTCTTCGTCAGATATTGCCGATCTTGAATCACGTTCGTTCAGGACGTCAAAATGGTCAACAACCAAAATTTGGGGAAGACTAGCATTCATCGAGGCTCCTTGATAACCTTCTGTAGGCTCTTGTCTTTCCTTTCTGCCAGTGTTTCTTTGCACTCCAGGATAACTGTGACCAGGACGGACGGATAACAGTGACTGGGAGAGATTATGTATCCCTCCGCTTCGGGAAGACGGCCTGTTTGCAGAGACTAGAGATGATGAACGCCTCTTATTCCTGCTGCTACGCCCGAAGTTGGACTCGCGCCTTGATCTTCGCCGGTTGCTAAGCCCTCTTGGTTGCTGGGCGTTGTTTCTCGTCATCTGATCTCGCGAGAGTCTGCGTCCCGACGAGAACTGGTGACGGAAACCCTGCTCTCGCGAGAGTCTGCGACCCGACGCGAACTGGTGACGAGAACCCTGCTCTCGCGAGAGTCTGCGACCGGACGAGACTGGCCTGCGATTGGTCTGATGAGACCCCCGTCTGGCGGGAGCCGGAGAAACTGTTATCTTTCTTACGATTGGCTGCTGGGAGATGTCGTCAGCCAATTGGGACGCCGCTTCGTCCACATTGATGGTTGGGACGCTGATCCGCTTTACCCTACGGCGAGGCGCTTTCTTTTTACGACAACAGGATAACTCGGTGGCTGCTAGGATGTGAATTAACGTGGAGAACCTGTAGAGAAGAAAAGAAGAACATATTTAGTTGAATAAAGCCCCTGTCATACTTGTCCGACTTAGGCTTGTTACATCTAACCGTTGTTTAAACGTTGTTTAAAGCTATCCAGTGATGATGCCCGTGAGTACCACTCTACGGTAGTTCTAGGAAAAAAAAATTATCACCTCAATCCTTGGTTGAGAACTCTGGTGCTTGAAGTTGAAGGGGTGGGTAATAGATAGTCTTGTTCTTTTTTCTGAGCTGGTATTGATAGAAAGGAATGTTACACTAAAGACAAAGAAAAATGTAAACGGCGTGATGTCCTTACCTGTGGAAAACCATGGACACAAACTGGATGACCAGGACTATAATGAAGAAAGTCAGGAAAGCCAGGCCAAGCGCCTCGACCTAAACAACAGAAAATAAAACATTAGCCCAATCACGCGAGTCAAAGACATTATTGTACGATGCATTTACATGTATAGGGGATTCTTTTTCTCAAGCTAACCGACATCTCGCACACGCAGTCGTCCCTCAGTAAGATATCTGGAGCCGCATAGTTCCCGTTACAGACTGCATAAATGTTCTAAACGGGAACTATGCGGCCCCATATGTCTTACTGAGGGACGACTGCGTGTGCGAGATGTCGGTTAGCTTGAGGAATGAATCCCCTCTACTATATGCTGTATGGTGCAGTTGTATGTTTCATTCTATGAAACTTGAAAGCCAACTTTTAGTCCAATGTAACAAGTTATCAAACACAAAATATCCTACCATGGAACACATTGCATTCCTCTCATGTTATCTATCCATGCATACCTTGAGTTCGGTACCGTCCGGTAGTTTATACGGTACGTACAGGTCCTTAGTGTTGATCTGCAGCACAAACGTCACGATCATCCACAGGGCGTTCAGCATGAAGAACCCAAACGTCACTCTGGAAAGGAAACATTGCCACAAAGATTATAGCTCAAGCGTCGATGAAGGTTAGACATTCAGGTAATACGAGAGTTACTCAAGCAACTGGATATGATTTTGGAAACAGCCAGGCGTTTCAGCTAGTCCTAGTTGTTGACTGTCACTGACGAAAGCTAGTGGATACTAGCTGAAACTTCTGACCGTTTCCAAAATCATATCCAGTTGCTTGAGCAACTGCTTTTTGGCGTATTATAGCTCATGATTATCGATTAGATTATGACTTATAACATTATTACCTATGACTTATAGCTCTAGCGTGACTATAAGATTGGAACTATATAACCATGATTATAAAGTTATAGAACAGACTATAGGATTATGAGAGTATAGCACAGACTTATAGCTCTAGCATGATGAGCAAGTAAACATGAAAAATGAATAAACATCTGGCAAAATAAATAAATACTATGGTAAATAAATACTTAGTAACCGTCTAGGGGCGTCATCTACAGTTATTCTTCAAATTGTAAACATTATTCATGACATTTACGTAGCTTGTAAGAGCATAAACATACAATAACGGTCTTTCATTCATGGATTAAAATCCACACATCAATAGTCCCTCAACGCTTTTATCTTTTACTAGCCATTTTCCCAAGAAGTTACTTGTTCTTACTTGTTTCTCAGAGACTTGAGTTCCCCAGCAATTCTCTCCTGCTCTTGTTTATCCTCGTCCAGAGGATGTAGGTACTTGGCGATGAGGGTCCTCCAGAACTTGGCCTCGCCTTCGTCCAGGTGTTGTACAGGGCAGCTGGCGAACACGTCCTCCGTCAGCCAGTAGTCCTGGTCGATTTCAGGCTCCTCATCTGCCAGCGGCCGCTCTGAAGAAACATTACAAAATTCCAACTTGCATGTTATGGTCTAAACATAAACATTGCCATCCCAACTTAGATACAGTACAAGACTTATTCCATTCATCCATCCATCCATCCATCCATCCATCCATCCATTAATCAATCTAACACTATCTATATCCATCTATTCATCCATGCATCCATTTATCTATATATCTAGTTATCTATCCATCTATCTATTCACCCAACTCTCTCTGTATATACATATATAGGAATAAAAATCCATCTGTCTATCCATCAAGTTATCTACCCATCTATCCATCCAATAATCAATCTATTTCTTTGTCCCTCCCTCTCTCTCTCTCTCTCTCTCTCTATATATATATATATATATATATATATACAAAGATATACATCCATCTATCTATCTACATGTATCTATCTATCTATATTTGAAAAACATAACATTTCCAATCTTCGAGTTAAACATTGTCTCCTCTATCCAGTGTTTACCTTCCTCCTTGAGCAGTTCCTCCTGGAAGATGTCGTCCATGATGAGTTCCTCCTCTATGTCGGAGGACAGGTCGTTGTCTCCGGAAAAGCTGACCCTCCTGACAGACCGCCTGCTGCCTGCCCTGCTGCTGCCCGCCCTGCTGGCTGCCCTGCTGACGCTCAGTCTGCTCACGGTCCGGCTGGCAGCACGGCTGTACACCTGGAGGTATCATGAAGAACGTCATTGCACAACAACTTATAACAACATATACATAAATAGTTGGCATTGATAACAATTATCTAACCGTTGTAAGAGGTTCAAATCTCGGCTGTACACCTGGGATTCATAATAAAGGAGAACTTTATTGCCCGGCAATTGTACCGGGCACACCGTATGTGTGTGTGTATATATATAAAAAAGAGAGAAGAAGCCATTAGAACTTAGATCGATATCACTTTATATAGTTTTTTTTAGCATTTTATACCTTAGACCTGATGTTAGCCTTACTTTGTTATTATGGGTTCACCACACCACGAAGTGGTGGTGAACCCATATTGCTTTTTCTGATGTTTCTTCTCCTCCTTCTTCTTCTTCTTCTTCTTCTTCTTCTCCTGCCATTTTTTAAATGGATTCAGCTTCTTCATTTTAGGGCCCAAGGTCCTGAAATTTGGTATGGAGGTACAGTGGGCAAATACCCCTAGGCGTTTTTAAATTATTGTGATACAGGCTTTTAGAATGGTTTTATTTGAGTTTTTTGGCTGTGTTATAGCAAATGTATTACTGTGTTAGTGTGCCTTGTTTACCACATTTGGGCATGAGTCATCACAATGGAATGCAGGGCATCAACCAATAGGCATGCAGCTTTCCTCTATTCTTCTTGCTGATTGGCTGTTGGGATTTAACTTGATTAACACCTGCATTTCCATTTCCATACTGACAGTATGTCTGTATTCAAGTGTTTTGGTAGGTATTTCAAGCTTTCCTGCTCCAGAATTGGAATGCGGGGCATGGACGTTTTTTTTTTACTTTGAAAATCAACAGTTTGCATTATGCAATCAAAAATCCTAACCAATAAAGTAGGGAATTGCTATCCAACTGTTGTTTTAGTTGTATTTTACTTCATATTATAGTTATATCAATGTAAATCATTGTTTTCCCTTGTGTTTCTCATTCTTTCCCTGCCATGTCGTAAAATGTGGTGAACCCATCGCTGTATTTGCTCCAAAGCAAATATTGGCCTTTCTAGTTATTGTTGTGATTTCTTTCTAGTACATTGTACTTTATACATCTATGCATTTATCCCCCTTGGGAATAAACATGCAATACTGTTTCAAATAATTATATTTGTTGTACCGGGAACAACAAGCAAAGCAAATACGAACAACCAAAACCAGCACACACACACACACACACACTGTGAAAATGTGTCATGAATCTATTACACCAGTTTATCTCATCTCACCTTGTCTAACGCCTCCACCAGAGGAAGGTAGTCATCCTGGCGCTTACTTCTGGGGCACATCTCACACCTGGAAGGGAGGGAGGGAATATAACTTGAGAAACTATGGATGGTATTATTTTCTTAAACAACAATGACGTTAGAACTTTCACAATGATAGACAGGGACAATGAAGTACACATTACAAGAAGGCAAAACGGAACTAAGTGTATGCTTAATTTGTTTAATTTAAAGACAATTTGCTATACACTTATATGAAATTCATTCTTTGATCCTCTAGAAAAACTGTACACTTGAACCGTGTCTTCTGTTGGTTTAGTAAAAAAAGGCAAATGACAAAACGAAAAAAAAGCAACAAGAAAACCATAGCCAGCAGTCGTCTGTGTTGACGATAGTTTTGGATATCATGATTGTATCTCTTACTTGAACAAGTTTCCGCAGCCGCACAGATAACCAGAGTCATCGTCGTCTCCACCCTTAAATAGCTGCATGAACCGTTCTTTCGCTGTCTTGGGCTGCGGTCCGCCGGCTGCTTTCTTCGTGCTGCCTTTCTTCTTTACCTAATACATAACGTATACGTAATATCTTGGTTAAAGAAAAGGTTTACATATAGACTAGAGCTATACACTACTTTCAAGCAGCTTTTGAAGTAACTTTTAAAATTCATTTCATTACATCGCTTGGAATGCAAAGTAGACAAAAAGTTGTCGGTATCCTTGAGGCTATTACTGCATCCGAGACCATGCCTCTCAAGTTCTTTGCCTTAATGGGTTAGAGTTAGAATCAGGCATGGTTCTGGATAGTCTCCACGTATCCACGTATATATAGATTTGCAACAAGCACGGTTCTTGGTACACTTGGACTATCCATAACCTTGACTCAGCAAAGTTCTAGAGAAAGCGCGGTTTTGGTTACAAGTCGTTTTTGTATCCAGAATTGGGACTGGTCCAAATCTATGTCCTTGGATACGCGGAGACTATCCAGAACCGTGTTTGGTCATAACCATAACCCATTCAAGGATAGAACACGGTTCTGGATAAAGCACGGTTCTGGATACGCTTAGACTATCCAGAACCGTTCGATTCCTGGATAAAGCACGGTTCTGGATGAAACAACCGTACCTCCCTTGTTCCCCAGCTGACGATGTTCATGTTGCAGAGAGAGTAGATGATGAGCAGCAGGTAGCCAGACGGCACACACAGCAGGTACAGCGCGCCGCACGCGATGTTCCAGAACTCCTGATGAACCGAGAAAAAATGGACGAATGAATTAATGAATGACTTGATGGATGGATGAATGCATCGACCAATGGGTGATTGAATGGATGAATGACTTTTTGGATGGATGGATGAATAGATGGACGAATTGATGATTGAATGGATGAATGAGTGAGTGGATGGATGAATGAATGCATGAGTGAATGGATGAATAAATGAATCGATGGATGAATGAATGAATAGGCATATGAATGAATGACATCTATTGTACGTTTATGCTCCTACAAGCTAATGAATATAGGTAAATGCAGGGCATATCAAAATTTACAGTGATATCTTTCTACAGCTAATGTAAACTACTGTGTACCGCCAATGGTTATAGAGGTGTAAAATGCCTACCAGCTAACACCACGTAATTACCTGTGGGTGGATGATGGCCGCTATGAGGAACAGCCCGCACATGAGGAACGTGAAGAGGGCCACGGGACTGAGGGGACCCTCCACCGTGATCTGGCCTGCAATCCCCACCACCACAGCCATCATCACACACGAGTACATGGCGCTCAGGATGGCGGCGACGTTGATCTGTGCAAAAGTTCAGGAATAAAACAAATATTATTAACATGAAAGTTCATCTGAGTTGGTAAATAACATAGTGAGAAACAAATTGTGATTGTTCTCCAACTCAAACGAATTGACTAACATCATGACACAGCAACCATCCCTCAACCGGGACGGGGGGCGGTACCGACTTCCCGATGACGACCTTTGACCCAGTGCTTACGTCACACGTGTCGATAAATCACGTGTCTACAGCGCTTGAGTCAGACAGCTGATGAAGACCGAGAGGCTAAAATTTTGGTGAGTCAAATTCCTTGAGTTGGATAACAGTTTATTTCTTATTATGTAATATACTAACTCAGAATAGAATAATCTGCTAGAATAATCAGTTGGTTTACCACGGAAACAAAGTAAGGAATGGGAGAAAGCAGCTGTAGGAAAAAGCATTATTCCCATTGAGCCCCTCCCTATCTTTCAAAACCATTTCTCCGTACCTGAGTATCAGGTTTGACGACGAAGCAGAGTATGATGAATCCGACAGGGGGCGCGACTGAGACGGCCATGGCTGTGACGTTGTCCCATTTGAAGGCGTACGTCAGCGCCCCTGCGATCATCATGCACACCGTGGCGGGACCGAGTACAGACGATATCATCATGGCCATCTAGATGGGCAATAGTTCATACAGGGTTACAAGTTGCCTTTTGATGTCACAATACCAGTTAAGAACAAGAAATAGCCATGTCGTCAAGTACCAGAGTTAATTGACAAACAAGCATAGAGGTGTTGAAAAACTCGTTATTTCCCTAGGCCTACATGTATCGTAAAGGGAAATTCGCTGTCACCGAGTACAGTAAGGGCATCTTCACTAGATAGATAGCAGTTGAATGTAGAGGGTCGTTAGGTGTAGTATTGTCAGCTACCTGCGAAGCTGGTGTGTTACACTGAACGGTAGTTATACCGGTTAAACAGATACAGATATCTTATACTTTTTTGCCGCTCATTTGCGAAAATAATTCTCCAATTCATCAGAGTTTCGTGACAAATGAAGCAACAAGACACTAACCTGGTAGATGATGTAGAGGTTTGAGATGCTGCTGTTAATTTTAGCCGTCCTCCGGCCGTCCAGTAACAGGTCCATGACGTTTGCCATTGTGGAGGGTCCCCAACGTCTCCGCTGGTTAAAAAACTCCTGTAGAAAAAAAAGGTTTTATGATGAATATTGAGACCTAATGCCAAAATTTCATGATTTTGAGGAAGCCTTGGTACCTGTTAAGTCTAGACAGACACAGTACACTCCTCCCCTGAGTGTCTTCTTCGGGTTTACGTGTCGTAACTTCTTTCGGCAGAAGGCTCTCGACACGGGGGGGTAGGGGTATGTACGTGGGGGGCAAGGGTGGTCGCTTTGTGTTTGTGTGGTAAGCCCAGCTCCTCAGTGGGCAGGGGCGCTACTCCCTGTCCGCCACCCTGCAGCTGGGTGGCGGTGAGTACCCGGTGTATAGTGAACGAGACCCAGGGTCACAGAAACTAGCCTAAGGGCATCCGGGGCAGAAGGGTTTTCCCAAGGATTTCCAGGGATGTGGGCATACATGTGAGTCTGCAAAAAGAGCTCGGAGACATTCCTGTGGACATGCCATGCCTGTGGATAAAATTTCTGCACAATTCCTAGAATTCTTGCAAATTGCACACAATACTGCACTATTAGGCTCCTCCCTGAGACGTTGCCAAAAACTGACAGTTGATGTTATAAATTCTTTACATTTACCTTGAACCCCTCCGGTGCGTACGTGAAGGCATCAGAAGCTGCAGAATACTCAACCCGCCAGCCCTGCTGTAACATTAACGTGCACAGCCATCTGTCCTCTCCTGTGGGTCAAGTAAATAACGGTTTTAAAATGATGGTTACATTTTGAAAAGTCATTCTAGTACTAAAGTATAAAACACAAGGTCTGACTGACTATCTGTAGACTTGCCTTACTTAATGGAGTGGATGTCAACACTTAAAGCACATTATTAATTCCTGTTCCTGCAATTAGCCCTCGGGCATGAATTTGCAATAAACATATCATTATTAGGATGATGTTTTGTAAAATGGTACACTGAGTCAATACTACGGGCAATACTAATACCAAGAGCTTCCATGGTCTCCAAACTTCTTGTATGACGTACCTTGATCATACTGTACGAAGTGCTTGGCCTCAGTCGGCTTGGTGGTGTACTTGTGCATGACGTTGTCATCCATGATGGCGGTAGCGCGGAACAGGCTGAAACACCCCGGACTGCACAGCACGCACCCCAACACGTGCTCCGCTGTCTTCTGGAACCAGTGCCCGATAGCGTACTCAAACATCTGGTACCAGATCAGGGGACCTGAAACATTATTCAAATGAAACAAAAAATGACCATCACGATTTTGATATAATGTTTAGATCTTGTTAAAAACTTGTGATAATGTTGACCTTCGCAGAAGGACAATATATTGTTTTGTGACTGTTTCTTCTTCTTCTTCTCCAACACATGTGCTGTAGCAGATAGACACCCTGTGATGTTGGGTTACATTATGTAGCAAGTGGCAGGAGTTGGAGGGGCTGGTATGTGGTCACCATATACTAGTATATGGATGCGTTTGAGTACGAAAAAGTAGAGCAACAGTATTTTGTTATGCTAGAGTATGTACGGTAAACATTGCGCATTTGCTTGGCAAATGTTACCTTTCTAGTTACTGTTTGCCGTCACCACAAAAAATATAGTTCGCAGACTCCTCACCTGACCCGATCGGGTGTATCCTTCCGCAGGCCGCGCCGACTTGTGGGTTCCTCTTCATCAGATCCACCAATAGCTGCACGGCTGACGGCTGGAAGTCTACGTCACCGTCAAGTGCCAGGATGTACGTGTTATCGCACCGGAGTTTGTACAGGGTCTCCAACCGGAGTTTTATCAACGGGTCCTTCTCTGCTTTTATCCGAGCCGACCATTGTTGTTTTAACGACCACCCAAGGAGATGATACATGTACATGACCTGTACATGGAATCACGATAGCCGGAACTAATAAGCCAGACATTTGTATTTTCATGACAGGCATTAACAGATAGACTAAAAAATGACTAATAAACTGGTGGACGTCCCAACTACTAAGTACCTAATACCAGCCCAGAAGAGAACAAGAAATAGTCATGCCTTCAAGTACGTACCAGAGTTATCAACCAAGGAATGAGGTGTTCAAGAATTTATTCTTTCCTAGAACTACGCAGAGTGGAACTCACTGTCACCAAATACAGTAGGGGCATTGTCATTAGATAGCTATAAGCAGTGCCTAGAGTTAGAAGTTCAAGGGTTAGGTACTACCAAGTCGATCGGTGTAATATATCCAGCTGCCGCCGCGCCGCGTGCCTGCGAAGCTAGTGTGTTACACTGAAAGGCGGTTATACCGGCTATACAGATACAGATACAGATCGTGTCTAGCATATATAAGAATTGATAATTGTGAAATACCATTGAACCCATTATTACACACCATGAACTCAAGATATATCATTGACCATGATATGAATAAAGAATAAAGAATGGTTCAAACATGTTACGCGCTATAAAACATTAACAAAAGTTCTACATCGATCAGGTAGCCAGACGGACAAAGCGTGTACGGTTCAAGCTTCCTGAATGTACCGTTAACTTGCACGTCAGGCAATTTATATGTGTCACTGGGTACATGTGAAACTGACACAAACCCAGATTTGGTCTGAAGACTGATTGAGATTTCACTGTTAAGACAGGCATGGCAGACAATTGTGTATTGGTCTAATCAACTGGTCACTGTAAATTGTCATTTCTTAATGCTTTATATCACAATACAGGTCAACAACATTGTTATTAGAACATTCCAAACATCCGAAATGTATACAGGTAAAAGTAGCAAACACGAAATGAAACACATGTGTTTCCTTCTTTACCTGGCCGGAATTTATGATAAGTGTACCTATGTTTAATGTGTAAATAAGTTCGTAATCATATGTATTTGTAACTTTTATGACCCCAGGAAGAAAGGTGTAGTATATGTATATACTCAGTAATGGAGATCTTTCAAATAAACAACAAAAACAGGTAAACAAATAAACAGGGCAAAAGAACAAGAGCCTAGGAATCAACTTCTCTGATTTAGTGTCATTCAATCCACTGCTTTTTCAGTTTTAAAAAATGCAAAAAACTTGGAAATATCGTTGCCATGGTTACCTGGCTCCACCGTTTCCGATGACGTATCCGCATCTTGTCCTTGAGATGCGCCACCATCACGTGACCTCCCGGCAGCCTCCACACCAGCTGACCTCCGTAGGGGGTCGGGGTCACGGTGGGGTCAGGCACGGTCACCTGATCACCTCTGTCTCGTACAGCACTGAGTTAGAATAAAGGAAACGTCTTTCATGAGAAATTTCCATGTAAAATTCCACATGTCACACGACCTTCTTCTATACTGATGTAAAAGAATTGTTTACATGCAATAATCTTGTACATGTATTAACCTCCGTAGCAGGCTTATAGAACTGGGGGTTTGGTGGTCTTCGGCTGTTTTCTGATTAGCCCAGTTCTAAAAACGGGGTTAATTCAACCAGGCCGGCTATGTTGTCTATATGCAATCAGAAAATAGCACATAAAAGCTCTCAAAGACCCTGAAGACCCCCCCCCCCAAAAAAAAACCCAGTGTTTGGCATACTATGGAGGCTATCCATGTATAAGGTTTAACCTACTTTTCAACATTTTATATACTGCCAGAGATCTATTTACACTTGGCAAGGATGTATGAACAACTGATCGTGATAGCTGTGAACAATTTGCTCAACTGGAAAATCTTATGAATGACATCCATACAATAATTACATTAGGTTGGTGAATGATTTGATACAACCACTTGTTCAATAAGAACGACGGTACCCTGATTAAAATGACAGACGGTCATTGAAACGTCAGCTCTTCGTAAAGTAAACAAGTGGTTGTAGATTTAGAGCGTTTACTCAATTTTAGTCCAGTTGTATACATTGTTTATTGATTTAAGAAATACCATTACGCATAGCTAAGATTGAAATGATTGAAATCTGCAAACTGCTTGTTTGTGTGCGCAACAAAAGTTACTCAAGCAACTGTATATGCTTTTGGAAACGGTCAGACGTTTCGTGTAGCATCCACTACTTTTCACCAGTTAAGAACACAGGAAAATTATCAGAAAAGCAGATTAATATTAAAGCATCAACTATTGATTGATATGCATCAAGGCGTTTACAAGTACGAACTATTGATTGATATGCAAATAGGCGAAGACACATTTTTGATAGTCCAAAAGGAAACAAAATTTAGATAATGTCAAGTCAAGGATGATGCAGATTAGGTCAAATAGCCTCTATTGTTTCATAACAGGAAGTATTTGACTGTTTGTTTGTTTGTTTGTTTGTTTGTTACTTAGTTTCGTCGATTAAGGTTAGACATTCAGGTAATACGATACGCCAAACAGCAGTTACTCAAGCAACTGGATATGATTTTGGAAACGGTCAGACGTTTCAGCTAGTATCCACCAGCTTTCGTCAGTGACCTCAGTCTGCTTTTTGGCGTGTGTTAGTTAGTTAAAGTCTGCGAAGCTTACTTGGCGGCTGTGGGCACCAGTCTGCAGAGCTGTCGGACGAAGTCGTTCACGACAAGTTTCCCATCATCCCTCAGGTCCATTGCGTCATCGAACAGGATGTGGGTCTCGCACCGGTAGTTGTCGCGCTGCATGTCGGGAGCGCTTGCTTGACTTGCCTGGTCCAAATCCATTCTGCGTTCGAAGATGATAATATCAGAAATCGTAAAAAAAGTCGATGTTGCAATGTCGTACAATGAAAACAATTATTTTGTTACATTTTATTGCCTCTGTGAAAAGGAAAGTGTTTACTGGACTGAATATATTTCATTGCTAGAAGGTAGCCTTTTCAAAGCAAATGCATAATATCTACCTTCACATTGTGAAGTATAACAATCTACTACTCTGTTTATTCTTACTTAAACACATTCATATACATGTACAGGTGATCAGCCCCTCCAACTCCAACTGCTACATACTGTAACCCAACACAACTGGGTGTCTGCTACAGCACCAGTTACCATGGTGACCGAGACGTCTGGTCCAGGTCATTGACCTGATGTGTTTGGAGAAGAAGAAGCATGACAGCAAAAACAATCTGAATATCATCAAAGAGACAATTCTCACCTGCAAATAGACTTCAGTATCTGTACCATCTCCTCTTCAGTCTCATGCCACATCGTCGCGCACAGGTAGATGAGCGAGTCCACAGGTGCTGCCACCACATCTGTCACGATCTTCGTGACGTTACTTCCGGTCCTAGCCTCGTTTTCGTCCTTCGACTTCCGGTTAAGCATGAGGCACTGCTCCACCAATGCCCCACAATACATCGGGCGAACGAACATCTTGCTGGTTGGCGCGAACCGATGATTTGAGCGGAACCAAATGTGGGACGATATCCAGAGTTGAGAAAGCCACCACAACACGATTCCAATGATGATTTCCCGCCAACTTTGTTTCAAATCTACGTCACACTCCCAAATGTTCAGGCTGTTGAATTTAAAGACGTTACGCCACTGGCAGTCTATGACAAACATGGCCATTGTAGCGGGGGTGGCGAGGCAAAGTGGAAGAGCGAACCCCACCCTGTGGATACACGTCATACATGACAGACGAGAGAACAAGAAACATGTCGCTGACGTAACTAGTTGAACAAAGAAAAGCAGAGATATTTGGATAAAATAATTCTCTTCGTCCCACTCAAGTTTCACTGGTGCTAAAATTTTGTCAAGGGTGATATCTTCTGATGATGCCAAAATCAGAAATGTGACCAAACCAATAATTACTATGTTCATAATTCCTGCATAGATGTATGTTTTGCATCTTACTTCAGAGAGCCCGACTTTAAGCTTGTAGAGGGGAACGTTGAAAAAGAAAGGGAAGACTATGTCAGCCCCTGCGAATGTTTCCCACCAACGGAAAGATATCAGAAACAATGATAATGTTACTTCCCATGTTGGACCATTGTAATGACCAAATGGTTGTGCAGGGAGTAAGCAAAGTGCACTGGTCTGCATCAGCCAAGACATAACGTCAAGAAACAACATGATCTCTCTGCGACCTGACTTTATGTCCTTTCGAACGATGGTGGCGTGGATTTTCAAGATGGCGGGCACGAAGCAGACCCCGTTCATCAGCAGTAGGGAGAAAATGAAGTTTGATCTGGGGAGAACGCGGAGGACGAAGATGCATATCCCGGATGTTGAGAGAGCCTCGATGAGACAAACCTATCGTTAAGAAAAGTGGAAATATAATAATATAATGCGTCACAACAAGCAGAAAGCAACACACACACGAACACATACACACACAATACCCCTGTCCTTGGTGCTGAACACTATCCACGCATGCATGCACACACTCACGCACACAGACACACACACACACACACACACACACACACACACACACACACACACACACACACACATACACACAAACACACACACACATGCACACACACATGCACATACATAACAATGCCCCTGTCCTTGGTGCTGAACACTATCCATACACGCATGCATGCACACGCACACACACACACACACACACACACACACACAAACACACATGAAAAGTTGTTTTCATTCTGTCAACAATATCCTCCATCATGAAGTAAAATCTAGATCTGGTAACACGTATTTAAATTGCTAGAATTTGCTGCCTTACCTTCCACAGAACTCCCCAAGAAGGGCCCTTCATTTTGCTGAAGATGATCCGAACGATGTTACGTAACACCGTCATGACTTCCGGTACAAGAATCGTCCCCATCAACATCAGCATGTACTTCGCTCTCTCAGCTTTCCCGGCTTCATTCGCAATGTTCTGTAACCCACTTTGTACAATCGGGCTTGCCAAAGTCGCCAAAGTTGACCCGTTCGTGCCACAGGTCAAGTTCGTACACAGTCGTAACGTACTGTTCCCGGCGTGCGTTGCGGTATCGTTCCCGTGATGCATCGTGTTGGAAGCGAGGATGATGAGCGCCATCTTGCTTCCGATGGCGGAACCCAGGACGGCGAGGAAGAAGAGAATGTAGGACAGAACTTTGGCCACGACTATGGCGATTTTTAGATAGGAATTCTTGGAGGAGTGGGCATTGTCTGCAGGACGAGTGATGAAGGTATCCCAGTCCTCCTCAAAGCTACAGAAAAAAATATTTGAATGAATAAATCCTGGGCTGAAATTAAAAGACAGACTGCAGTACCAAGGAAAGCCGCTAGGCGGCCAAAAATCGATCTTCACCTTCGTATTCACAAGTCTTACATACATATTAAACGTAATAACAATCCACCCGGGCTTCTTAAGTTATGTTAAAAATATGTTGAAACACACACACACACACACACACACATATACATACATACACACACGCACACACGCACGCACGCACACACACACGCATATTGGCGCGCGCGCACACACACACACACACACACACACACACACACCAAAAACAATACCTTCATTTTTTCATGGAGGTAATAAATAAACTTTAAACGGCCTTCTACATTCTAAAGCTAAATTACAAAACATCTAAACATGTCATTCATCAGTTCTCTTTTTACTTGTCAGAGTCCGACTGTTTCGCACTACAGATGAACTAACTATTCTATAATAGACAGGCCTGATATATTGCGTGATAAAATTTTATGTCAGTAGGATTCCTGAGCCTTGAAAATAAATGATATTTGAGTATCGACCGCTTTTTGGAACGACAATTACATGCCACAAATTGACGTTCGGCCTTGTTCAGTTCAGCTACACACAATGGACAAGGTTGAGCCTCTGTGTTAGAGAGACAATGGCGCCACGCAATTTATTTCAATGAAACTATCATCCTTTTTGACACTATTTGCGTCAGTTCTACCTAATAGTAAAGTAAAAGACGACAAGAAAAAAATACCTTTCATTTGCAGCCATGTCGACGTCTTCGTCACTGCTAGATTCCATGGTGAATTTTCAAAGACTGAAATAGGTCAGAATGTCACACAGTTTTAGTTACTATTGTATGTCTGACATAATAGTATCAATAGAAATGTGTTGAGAAAATTCAACCACTGGTCTTAACTTACGTCAGTGATTATTTTTAATGACTTAAGTGTCCGTACATTATCCTCAATTTTAACATTGCAATATATATGTCAGAGTAGAGAGTATTCCAAATAGGTGATTTTACCGGATTTTTACCGGAGAGTCTCTGTCGGTAGAATCGATTTTAACATTTTCTCTCAAAAGACAGCCAAAACTTTTCTTTCTTTCATTCTTTATTTCAGGTAAAAAAAAAACATATAACACATGTACAGTACATCATTAAAATAATACAAAAGCTCTACAGACATATAAATAAAACAGGAAGAAACCTAGATGCATAATAAATCGTAAGTCTTTCGGAAGAATGAATTACTGTAAAAGGCATCAGATCTTAATAAGCGACTGATCGTTGCGTTGTGGGAGGAAAGTAATCGTTTTAAAAAGTAAAAGTAGCAAATCCTCCTCCGGATAGTTTCAAATGTGTCAATATAGTGATAGACAAACATTTCACTCCCACTACATCGCCGAGGTAAATTCATTTTCAACAACTTTTAAAATCAGTGTTGCTTTAGATCAATGGGTTGACTCGAAATTCGAGATTAGTAAGTAGGACCACCCTAACACATTTCTAACATTCTGGAAGCGGGCTCTCTACCGGTATGATCTGAGATTATATCAGGTCACAACCTGTACCCTAACATATATATTTGCAGGATACATAGGCGAGTTAAAAAGTAACTGATATCTGTGATTCTAACAACAACAGCTTGAACATGATCACAACATTATTCTAAAATTGATGAAGTTACCTGCAGATGGTACTAGTTTGAGCTGAGGTGTAGAACTTTCTTGTCTTCCGACAGCGCCGCGAAATCCATGCACACGAGTAAAGCCTCACTGTAGCATATGGGAACTTGGCTGTTGTAATGTAACCTAAAGTCCTACATGTATGTACGCCACGTTCACACTTAGCGACGGACACTGTTATGTCTGTTTACTGCAAGAAAAGTTGGATTTACCAAAGGTTGTAAACTCAGGTAATGTTTACTATGTACACAGTATCTGGCTTTACAATGGTAGTAAATAACGATCAAGTGCAGTAATTTCCTTTACAACCCTTGTTACGTCCGGTATTACCGTGCTTGACCTTTATATACTGCCATTGTAAAGTTCAGAAGTGTTTATATAAAAAACGAAGTAAACATTACCCAACTACTCTAAGTTTTCGTGCAGTGTGTTGTCAAGGCGGTTCCTATTTCATGCCATCATGACAAGTCTGAAGTGCTTTCTCAGACTTATAATAATGAGACAAGTCACGGAAATTAGGTGATTCTAACAAGAACTCGTAACAGCTCGAACATAGTCACAATTATTATTCTGAAACACGTTATAAAGTATAACATACCTGCGGATGAAATCAGTTTGAGCTGATGTGTAGAACTTTCTTGTCTCGCAACAGCGCCTCAAAATCCGTGTGCATGTGTAAAGTCACTATGTTAGCACACTGATGACTTGGCGTTCCTTATGTAATATGAAGCTCTATGTATGTCACGTTCACACGTAGTGATGGGTGCGATGTTATGTCTGTCGTTAGGTGGTTCCCATGTTCTGCCAGTTTGACAAGTCCTCCTCTTCAAGTTTCAAGTACTTCATTACTTAGAATTAATGAGCCAAGTCACGGAACCTGCAACATCTATTCACCCTTATTGTTAACCAACAAAAGGTTTTGATGTGTATATTGATTATGTTATGTCATAAACGCTTAGCCATGAATGCGTTCTTGTGTGACATATGCGATGTGCTGTTGAGTGATCACATTGAATTGCACTCACGTTACATTCAATTTGTCAGCGTAGAATAAGACAGTAGAGATGGTAGACATCTATTGCGTACTGCCTTTTGTCTGACGCTTAAAATGACGTTGATATAATTGTTTATATATATATATATATATGTTTTTTTTTTGAAAGTCATGCCAAAATGGTACTTAAGTGCTCTACTTCGCCACGTTCTGTAGGTGAGTGGGTTGTTTTTTTTTACATCCGTCCAAGGACGCCTAAGGAAAACCTTTAACCAGGTCGTTGCGTTTTCGATGGCACTTTTGAATTCTGTTGTCTGTTCAAGTCAGCAAATAAAGGGCATTCAAGGTCACCTAAATTTTTGGTTGCAGCTATATTTCATACACGACTTGGTCCACATTAACCTTTGCACATCAAGCTGTAAACGTTATTTAAAGCTATTCAATTATAATGCCCTTAATGTACTTGGTGGCAGTGGTGAGTTCTACTCTGCGATAGTTCTAACAAAAACTACATTTTTGAAAATTTCAATCAATGGTTGATAACTCTGGTACTCAAAGGCATTCTAGTTCTTTTCTGAGCTGGTATTAGGTACCTAGTAGTTGGTACGTCCACCAGTTTATTTGTCATTTTACGTCCATACTTAAGAAGCTATTAAGTGTATTTTTGTAAAACGGTGTGAAAAAATGAACGGTTCAATATGAAGTGATTTTTCCCAAAGTCACCACAGTTAACTGTCGGGCAGTGTCCTGAAATCCCCTTTCCCTGGTTTAACCTTGCCCCACTTTTCCTCGAACCAAGAGAGCTTAAAGAGACCTACTTCAGTGCAGTGCGTTTCATAAGCAGGGCCGACAGTGTAAACTTTAGCTACGGCCCAGCACCGTGCATGACCAAGTGATCCAGTTCTCTCCAACAGGCTATTGTCTCACCAATGACGCGTTACGGTAACTTCTGACGCGTTACGCTGGTTTAATCTGTGTATGTATCATCATCCACAGTGCATCTAAGGTCAACTTGGCAAGTGTCTGTCAAGTTATTTGGTTCTCAATGGTACCTTAACAATCTCACCCTCTTTATAGTGTCAGAACGTTAACCATTATGTATAAAGTCAACCCACTTGTTGTTGTACAAGTATGGAATTATTTTGATTTTACATTAAATTCGTTTTTCACGTCGTTCATGATCATCGCCATTGCGATGTTTGCTAGATACGCCTCCGTGTTATCAATTCCATAACGGTTACAGTCAAAGATGGCACAACCAACGTCTTATTAACAACTTGTTGACGCGCGTGGCGTAAAAACTTGTAAATTCATTTGTTCGAAATAAGAAACTTTTATCAATGATGATTATAATAACGTTTAATGAAAGTAGGTTACGAACCAGCTTCTGTTAGAGTAATATCTCGGGGCATAAACAAGACAATACATAGAGAATTCCGGTAGGCTAGTACACCTCCTAGTTGGGGCTTTACTCAAGAACTCAGTCATTTGGCCAGGCAAGACCAGCGATATTTCAAAACATCCAACTACCAACAAGGACGTCGTTGTTGGTCAAGTGACTCTTGTTTCTTGTCAAGGATTTCACCAGTGTTTTAAGTCCCATAATTTGATATCTTAAGCTTGGCATATCTTCAGTGTAGGTAAGTGGGCGTAGGAGGAAAACCTAATTTGTGTATTCAGAAAACTTAAGGACACAGAACAGCATGAAAGATACGTTTCTCTTGCTACTACGATGACAAACTGAGTCTAGTAGCTGTAGGTTAGCTACATGTACGGATTTGGGCTGCAGTCTTTACTTTAAATTTAAAGGTCTCTGTTTGAGATGCTTAAGAATTGATAAGTTATTCCACACAAGTTTGCTGCCCTTCTAAGACTTCTGTCGAACATCTTGAAATATAATTATAGTTCTTTCCCAGTTTCATGTTCTAAAGTTTCTTTGGTACACAAAATCTGCTACCTTAAGATAATAAAGCCAAGAGATGTGTGAACACCACAAAAAGGGAAAAAATACGACATTTTCTATGTTGTTGCTCTGTCAAACTTTATTTCTCAAATCATCACTTAATAAGCTTGGATGTACGTGGCAAATAATCAACCACCACCTTTCTAATCACACACACAAAAGGGAAATTCTCGTCACAAAAAAAAGAGACTTAAACACGTCTCTGCACTTGATGTCTTGCGTCTGCAATCAGCATTTCTTATTGATCGACTCCTAGGATTGCGATCCACCTCTATGGTCTGGGTTATACTCTGAAAAGAGAGAGTGTTTTAATGATTGCTTTCAAAATATATCTGTATCTGTATAGCCGGTATAACCGCCTTTCGGCGTAACACACCAGCTTCGCAGGCACGCGGCGTGGCGGCAGCTGGCTACATTACACCAATCGACTTGTTACACCTAACCCCTATATCAAATACAAGATGTGAATGGTTGTCGTTACATTACTGTGAATGTAAGTGTATCTGTAAGTGTTTTCATTTGAGTGAATATTTTGTTTACCGGATCAGCGTCCTCCGTTCCAGTTTTCTCCTGCCGCATGCATAGCCTCGTACTCAGCACAGTTGATCTGGCCGGGGCTGCCCGTCTGTCCGTACAGTTCGCCCGTCTCTTTATTCACGCAGTAACACAGGCCTTCCGGGCTGCACTGCTCTTTCTTGAAGGATCCGTCAGCCTCGCACTGCTTGATGAAACCTCCTGGTAACTCCGCGGGGTTGTCGGAGTCCTTCTGGACCTCACAGGGAGTACGTTCGTCTACAAGAAGAACAAGTAAAATCTGAGATTTTATACCTCCGGGCTTTTTATTGTATATTTTTATATAGGGTTTTAAACAAAGAATTTATCGAGACCGGACACCCACCTGTGTGAGGGGTCATATACGTGGACCAGACCGAGAATAGCTTAAACACGCCAAGGCAAAGGTCATCGGTCGCGACCACTTTCACGCTCAAAGGGGTGTTTTGGGGCCACCAAAAGGCACCATTTTCACGCCCCAAAACACATATACAATAAAAACAAAAGAACGTGCATCATCTGCAGCCCCAAAGCAAAACATATACCGAGTCTCAAAAGAAACCGCTGCGAACATGAAAATCTAAATCTCTCACAAAACCCTTCCGCGGAAGGATGTCTCCTCCCCCGGAGGTAATAAAACATCTTACAATAGAATGCGTAAGCAAGTTGAACTTACATGTACATCTTCCACTTGTGCTAGTTTCTAACACAGCATCCCTAGTTGCATACTGATGATTCTAGCACCATTACTGTGGCTATTTTTTTTCTGTTGTTGTTGTTTCCTTTTCTATTTTCCCCTTTTGTTCCCAAATGATTCTATACTTGGCTAGTAACATCGTCTAGAGCATATCAAACATATTCTCAGCTGAATTCAGCAAATAGTTAATTTTTTATTCAGTACAGAATAGTCTATTTTACTAATTACTTTAGTATAATAACCTCACCTTCGTCTTCCTCTGGAGGGACCATAGCCTGGTACTCGGCACAGTCGATCTGGCCGCTGGTGCTGCTGAAAGATGGGTAAATCTCGCCCGTCTCTGTATTCACGCAGAAGCACAGGCCTTCAGGGCTGCACTGCTCCTTCCTGAACGACCCGTCCGGCTCGCACACTTTGATGAAACCTCCGGGTAGCATCGCGGGATTTCGGGAGAACTGTTGCTTTTCACAGAGGGTGGCCTGGGCTGCAAGAAACATAGAGATTAAAAAAACATGAAGAAAAATTCGTAAGGTAGCGCTCATGAGGCAACACACAAACAACGCGGCTTCGAATTCGCAACAACGGCTTGCGTACTAAGGGTGAATAATAGGAGTAGTAGTTGTAGGATTTGTAATGAATCTCACCAACTTCTAGATACATGTAGTAGTTTTTTTTTTATATTCCAACATTTCATAACAAGACATGGTGACGGCACACTCACGTTTTATCAACTTATTTTATGCCGCCACCAACGCAGAGGACAAATACATGACAAGACAATCCTCATTTTCACTTGAGTTAAGTGAGGAAAGTCGTGTAAAGTGCCTTTCCCAAGGGCACAAGATCGGTGGCATACATAATATTCAGGACTCGAAACCGGGACCTCTTGGTTCTGAGTCGAGCACGCTGCCGCTACGCCACATGACCCCACACATTAGTATTTGCACCATGGGTGCATGTCTTACCCCTTAGTATAATGTCTTTGGTAGCAACCGAATTGCTTGCATACAAAATGTGCATGTATACTACTCTCCAAGCAGAGGTCGTGGGGGAATGATCGTTAGCTATTTATATATGGTGTTTTTTTTGTCGCTAATCCCACCAACCGTCGGTGGCCGCGGAGCTTCTCTGGCTAATGGATACTGCCTGGCCAATTTGATACTGTCGTTTTGCCACCGAGAGGGATCTGCTTGGAGATTACATGTATACGATAAAGGTGTACCTTCGATTTTAGGTTCATCATGCGAAGCCTCGTACTCGGCACAGTTGATCTGGCCGCGGCTGCCTGTCTGTCCGTACAGCTCGCCCGTCTCTGTGTTCACACAGAAACACAGGCCTTCAGGGCTGCACTGCTCTTTCCTGAAGGACCCGTCCGCCTCGCACTCTTTGATGAAACCTCCCGGCAGCATGTCAGGATTTGCGGAAAACATCTGCTTCTCACATGGGGTGCGCTGATCTGAAATTCAAGAACAAAAATATCACGAGTCGTTAGAAAAGCTTTTGTCGCAGACACAACTTCAAGTTCATGTAAAACACATTGTTTAGTTACATGTCCCAATTACGCTGGCGACCACCAGACTTTAGAGTCGGCTGGAAAGAGCAGAACTTTGCCAAAAAGACAGATAACATGCCAGTGGAGTTTGTCCGCTAAAGGAGCGGCAAACTGTACTCCTTTACGTCGATGAAGGTTAGACATCCAGGTAATAAGATACGCCAAAAAGCAGAAACTGGATATGATTTTGGACTAACTAGGATCCAAAATCATATCCAGTTGCTTGAGTAACTGCTTTTTGGCGTACCTGTACTCCTTTAGTTGACGCCTCTGTCATGTTACATACACCTGACGTGTCTTTATGGCCCATTGCTACTCTTTCCAGCCGCTTCTGAAGCCTGGTAGACTCTAATTTTACGCAATTTGTATAGCTGATGCTGATATTAGTAGCTGACAGCACAGATTGACCGCAAACTGATCTCACCTTCCCTCAGGATATAGTAAGTGTCGCAGCCAAACGGCTGTCCGCGCATCCTGGTCTCCGGGAACAGCACGCCGGTGTCGGGGTGCGCGCAGTAGCAGAAGTCCCCTGTCCAGGCGCACTGCATGGTGCTGTAACTCCCGTCCGGGGCGCACTGCTTCACAAACATCTTCCCCCGACCGGCCCGGCTTTCTGCGCGCTCCTTCTCGCACCGAGACATCGGGCCTGGGGAAAGAAAAAAGTGTACGGTACTTTGTACATTTCCGCAAATAATTTCATCAGGTTGGTAAGCGAATGAATAGCAAAGTTTTTTGATCACAACCATTTATTTTTACGAGCCGACGTTTCGATGACCGTCTGTCATCTTCATCAGGGCAATTCTGACTGGTTTGCTGTGCACTGACGCTAGATGTTACGCCAGAATTGCCCTGATGAAGATGACAGACGGTCATTGAAACGTCGGCTCGTGAAAATAAATGGTTGTGATCAAAGAACTTTGTTATTCAAACTTTGTACGTTGCTTGTTAAGATTGCCATAAGACTGCTTGCAAAAGTTGTCTTTATTGAGATATCCGTCATCCTGATAAAAGTCTTAAATTGTCAAAATCTTTGTATCTAGGAGCTTGTTAGCTTAGAACTACACAGGCACGGTTCTGGATACAAAAATATGCCCCCAAACATGGGAAGGCCCGCGCAAACCAGTAGAGTCAACGGAAAAGAAAAAGAGAAGGCATGCTTACGTTTTTCAATCTTGCTCGGCCAGCAGCCTTCCACAACAAGCTGTGGAACGACGATCAGGAACAGGAGAGCGAGAACACGGTGCACGGCCATCTCTCTGGGTACGACAATTCAGCCCTGGTCTGGCCTGCACGGCAGTAACCGCTGCTTTATAAACGTTTTCCGCGTCATGCATCGATATCAGCGTTCCTGTTTACTTCACAGGTGATTTCTAAGGCATCAATGCGTCTGTCCAAACATCCTTGACTCAACAGTTCACGGTAGACACTTGGCTCAAGGTTTGACACGATAGTTCGTTTAGCGGAAGATTCTTGACCCATTAATGAGGCTTGAAGGCTGCGTCCTTGTGTCTTAGGAGCGCCAAGACGAGGTGAAGTTGAACTATTTACGAGTGAAGTATCCGCACGCGCAGAAAATCCCACATCTCACGGATTGATCTGTGAGACTGGAAGGACAGTTTCAGAAGATCCTTCTAGAAGCGCGCTTAAAAAACACGTTGTCCATAGGACGAAAGAAGCAACGTTCCTAGAATGGGCTAAAATTGGCAGGAACGTTTTGGGTTGGGGAGAGTGGTTTATGTGTGAGTAGTGTGCCCTTACGTTTTAAACGCGCAAATAAGTGTTTTGAAATCTTATGAAGCAGCGAACTAGCCTCTAATAAAACGACCTGTTGCCGTAAAATTGGAGGCCGTGGTCTATGCCTAAGGATGGGCAGTAGGCCTAAGTAAGTATGGCGTCAAAGTAAATTTTAAAAACGTAACTAAGGTACACAGAACAGCTCTAATTACCTTCGCCAAGAATTGGAGAAGGTTATGTTTTCGTGGCCGTGTGTGTGTCTGTCTGTCTGTCTGTCTGTGTGTCAACAGCATATCTCGAGAAAGCTTAGATGGATTATCTTGATATTTGGTAGGTGGGTAGGTCTTGATGAGAGCTCGAACTGATTAGATTTTGGGCCTCCTAGCGGCTTGTTATGGTACTGCAGCTAAACTTCCGGTTTTGATATCTCAGGATCTAGACATGCTAGGGTTACGAAATTTAGGTGGTAGGTAGCTCTTGTGCTGGGGAAGAAGTGACGTCAGTTTGAGCCCCCTAGCGGCTTGCTCTGGAACTGCAGGGCTATCTGTTTGAAAATATTCAAAAGAGGATAACCAGTTGACGGATCGTCGTGATTTTTGGTATGTAGGTAGCTTACGTGATGCTTGATGTAATTATGGGGCAATTATGCAAATGTGGATGGGATTTGCATAATTTATGGGGATATTCTATAAATCAGCTGCATTCCATGATAGGACTATTGAAGCTTGTGAGATTGGTAATTGAGAAGGAGAGAAACACAGGCAGATATTGATTATGTAAATGAGGACTTAATTTGCATAATTAATGAGAAAATGTTATAATTCTGTAAAGATAACTGCCTGGAATTTCATACTTGTGGTATTTGAAAATTCAGTGAAGGTAAACATCATTAAACATGATGTATTTAAATCAGGACCTTATTTGCATAATTTATGAGGAAATAATAGAATGGCATCTTTTGTTAATATAAGACTGTCTTTTGGTTGAGAATATGATAAAGACTGATATAATTCATGGAAATGAGGACCCTATCTGCACAATCAGGGGGAATAATCTATATTTGTCAGCCATAAAGATTAACATCATTTGGCGAAGGTATGAGATCGCGGATCTCTAGTTCATGATAAAATTGGAAGAAAAACTACAAGATATTAGCTTCTGTTTCCAGAAGAGAGAAAATCGACTGTAGTAAATATTCTATGCAGTATGTCATTGCCCACCTATATGCTCTAGAGGGTGAATAGTCATAGGTGACAGCGAGTCCACAAAACAGCCAGCCTGTTTGAGGACAGTATTTGTGGAAGCAAGCGACCCTAAACGGACGTCGTCTAGCCTCTACCAGGCTTGAAAGCTGTAAAAAGGTACAATTAGGCCAAACAGGGAGGTACTAACTTGCCGAGGGAGTTGGTCCGCTAGAGAGTACAGTTTGCCGAACAAAAACTGTACTTTCTAGCGGACTTCCCCGGTATGTTATCTCTCTCAATTTGGCCAATTTGTATTCTTTCCAGCCGCTTCCAAAAGCCTGGTAGAGGTTAAACATCGTCCACGCCCCTGTAACCAACGGTACCGAGTTATTTTGCACCAGGGAAGGGAGCAGCAAACATGGCGTTTCGCTGGGCTGTTTTTACTCTCGTGGTTCTTGTGGTTTCTACAGAGGTAGCAGTCGAGGGGTGTTGGTCATGGGCCAGCGTGGCACGCGAGGAAAAAGGTACGTATTAGAACCTCAAATACACAGTCTTTACTTTGGTTTTGCAAGCAGAGTGTATGTATATGCCATTGCGTATGGCTACTGAAATTGGGCCACGATGCTTGGGCATGATCAATAGATTTTCCATTTCGGAAAGTATTTAGCAAAAAATTTTATACCTTCACAGCTTACTTGAAAGCTGAAGATACTGACAGAAGGAATAGCAACTTTCCTAGAATCTTTATAGACGTTTTTTTAGACACACAAGTTATTTTTATCGGAACAGAAGTTTCTTATCGAGACAGATTTTTTTATCGGGACAGAAATTTTCTGGTAGGACAGAAATTTTCTGTTGGGACAGAAATTTTCTGTTGGGACAAAATTTTTCTTACGGGACAGAAAATTTCTATCGGGACAGAAATTTTCTATCGGGACAGAAATTTTCTATCGGGACAGAAATTTTCTATCGGGACAGAAATTTTCTATCGGGACAGAAATTTATCGGGACAGAAATTTTCTATCGGGACAGAAATTTTCTGTCGGTACAGAAATTTTCTATCGGGACAGAAATTTTCCGTCGGGACAGAAATTTTCTATCGGGACAAAAATTTCTGTTTGGACATAAATTTTCTATCGGGACAGAAATTTTCTGGTAGGACAGAAATGATGTTCTATTAGGACAGAATTTTTCTATTGGGACAAGCTTTCTACCAATGCTAGGTGCACCTCTTCTTCAAGCAAAACCTCACCTTTATGTTCTTTTTAATGAATTTGTTTAAAGACTTTACGATTCTCCCAAAGGCCCGTGTACCCTGAAAGCGGAAGAGATCAATGAGATGTTGAGCGGCCCGCACTACATCGCGGATCTACACCCGCCTGACTGCGACGCGGATGGATACTACAGCGCCAAACAGTGCGACATTGCACATGGATAGTGAGTATAGATATTATCAATCGTATACACTTGCACTAAGAGCTAGAGTTCCTACATTGATTCAAAACTTACTACAATCTCTCCTATGTACCCGGATCAATGTATAGTATATAGAGTATAGTTAGTATTTTGTCTTCACTTATTTGCATATCAATCATTAGTTCATACTTCACTTCAAACCTGCTTCACAGACTTTTCTGACAACTCTCCAGTGTCATTGACGAAAGGTATAGTGGATCGATGCTAACTGAAACGTCTGGCCGTTTCCAAAATCATATCCAGTTGCTTGAGTAACTGTTTTTGGCATATCTGGAAGTCTAACCTTAAACCGGCGATAGTGAGTATAGATGTCATCACTTATATACACTTGCACTGAGATCTAGAGTTCCTACATTGATTCCACGCACACTACAGTCTTAACCTCCTATGTACCTGGATCGCTTCTTGTGGGTGTACTTCTTGCTTCAAGACCGCTTGCTCGTTCTTCCCTTCCATGCACACTCCTATAACTCGGCATCTTGGAACGGCGTGTTTCAATCACAGGTGCCACCTGTAAATCATGATCAAAATTCGAATTTGATAATCAATTCAATGTGATATATTAATTGAATGTGATTGTGATTCTCTATTTTCTAATAATGATTGTAATTGTATATGTTTACATAGTTGATTTTGTAATGTATTGTTTTGTGGATGAGAAAACATCTAGTAATAGTGCGTATGCCCTCTCTTTTGCGTTATGATATACTCGAATGCTTGCACTGCTATTTAAGTATGCTTCTTTCTTTCTTTTATTCTTTATATATTTATTTCTCTGTACCCTTTGTATTCCTTTGATTTCATGTCAAGTGAAAATTCCTTCATAGAAATTTGAAATCCTCTGTGTGTTTGTAGTTGCCGGTGTGTGGATAAGGAAGGGAACCAGATCGGAAATTATAACGGGTTCATCCAAGCCCAGACAGGACAGGAGGGCACATGGGAAGACTCAACTTGTGGTAAGTCTTTGTTTTTCCCCTTTTTCTTAATCTAAAAGGAATGCGATCGATCCATTCCAAAACAAATACGACGAAAAGATACCGGGCAATTGTTTGAACTATGATTAACTATGTCTAACTTTATCTTAAAGGAACCCTCTCCACGGGTTGGAGAATAGATCACTTAAGAAGACAGAGTTACTTTTATGAATATTCTGGACCCCATTTAATGGCTGTTGAATGGAATGGTCCGTAGGTATGTAAAGGGTGGCCAGTCAGCAAAACAAACTGAGGTTTGACAGAAGGCCACCGCCTTGTTAGCTCTCTTTCAAAAACATTTCTGTCTCTAGTTAGTCACCACACAAATCACTCTTAATGCAAAGAGCAGTCAGTCTACAGCACAAATAACGTTTTGACAATACTCAGGCACCACCCAACTTTGTCCTATAGTTCGCTTCCCCTTCTAACCTCTCCGACGTTTGACGTTTACTGATGGCCTCTACCAGGTCTCACAGGCAGCTGCAAAGCAGTAGAAATTGACCAGACAGATTCAATGACAGGAGAGTCAGCCCACTAAAGGAGTACCGTTTGCTGCTCTTAAAAATGTACATCTACTCCTATAGCGAACTAACTCCCCTGACATGTTTGTTATCTATCTATTTGGACAATTTCTACTCTTTCCAGCGACTAGAGGCTGGTAGAGGGTAGATTAAGACTGCCGTCTAGCGGAATCGGAGAGAAAAACAGTATCGCCTTGTTATGGGTGTGTTCCCTTCATATTGCAATAAATTAGCCGGATTCTGGCAGTCATAAAACCATTTTCACACGAGTAAAACTGCAGTTTTTTTTTCGCTTTTCTTCAGGTTGTGCCCGTTTCATAGGCAGGTAGAAATCAGTAGAGATTGACCAGACAGATTCAATGACAGGGGAGTTAGCCCTCTAAAGGAGTACAGTTTGCTGCTCTTAAAACTTAACATGTATTCCTTTATCGCATATAGCGAACTAACTCCCCTGACATGGTTTGTTATCTATCTATTTGGCCATTTTCTACTCTTTCCCGCGACTAGTGCTGGAAGAGGGTAGATTAGGACTGCCGTCTAGCGGAATCGGAGAGAAAACCAGTCTCGCCTTGTTATGGGTGTGTTCCCTTCATATTGCAATAAGTTAGCCGGGTTCTGACTGTCATACAATGAATGAATGAAGACCTTTATTGCACATTTCTGCCACACTTGGCTAAGTACAGGTCACAACAAAACAAGATGAATGGACACGGTTAACAGATACACGATCGCGAGTAAAAATGCAGTTTTTTCGCTTTCCTTCAGCGTGTGCCCGTGAGGAGCATGAGCTGACCAGCCAGACCGCCCTTCCCGGAGCGTTCATGCCGCGGTGTGACCGGACGGGAGACTACGCCAGGGTACAGTGTCTGGGCTCGATGTGTTACTGTGTGGACGACAACCTGCAGCAGGTCGGCCAGAGCGTGTACCTGTGGCAGCAGCAGCTCCTGAACTGCGACGGTCAAGGTAAGTCACGCCAAATATCAGCCTCAAGCAGGCTTCGCGAGGCGGCATTTGGCAAATTGGCGGCTTGAAATTGGCAACATAGAGATTTGGTCTGCTAGAGAGTACTGTTTGCCGGACCAACTCCCCTGACATGTTATCTCTCTATTTGGCCAATTATATTTCTACACTTTTCAGCCCCCTCCCGAAGCCTGGTAGAGGCTAGTCAAATATTAATCTCCAATCAGAAATTAAGTTTCGTTATCATTAGATAGTTTAGAGTGAACATCTAACTCTAAACAAATGTTTAAAGCTATCTAATTATGTCCCTACTGTACTTGGTGACTGCGAGTTCCACTGCGATTGTTCTAGGAAAGAATGATTTTTTGTATACGTTACAGGGAGACCGACCGACCGGCCCACCCACCGCCCGCGGCCGCCGACGCCCCGCCCCACGGCTCAACCCATCCCTCCAACACTCCCGCCTATCAGTAAGACTTTCATAATTTCTAACCAGATCCTAGGGTGGCAAAGGGCAGTATCAAACTGGTCAGACAGTATCCACCCAAGGATGGCGTATTGGATCCTCTCTGGCTGATGGATTCTGTCTGGCCAATTTGATACTGTCTTTTGTCACCCTAGGATCTGCTTGGAGATTAAAACTTTCTTACCCATTCGTTATACTGTGCATTGTCTTTAAACAAAGCTTTATGTTGGAATAACAATGTCATTTTTGACAATAGGTTGATAATCTATTAAACCTGTTCGCGCTGACTAAAATCCATTGACATAATGTTACAACCAATGTGTGCATGACAGCCAATCTCGGTCTTTGATTTCTCTACGAGCATCAAGGATATACATGTTTGAAATATGCTTCTCTTTTTTATACCGTTTGCTCTTTATGAATGAAATATAGTTTTCAGAACATTTCACTCATATATATTCACACCGTTCTGCCCATGTTACACTCCCCAGACGCGGGAGACTGCAGCAGCAGCCCGTGCCTGTATGACGCGAACTGCTGGGACGCGGGTACGGACGGGTACTTGTGCCAGTGCCGCCTGGGCTACGGTGGCTCCCGGTGCGAGAACTACACCGATCCCTGCCAGGCTGGGAACAACCCTTGTCAGAACAACGGGACTTGTCTGTACAGCAGCTGGGACGGCAACACCTACCCCTACTGCCAGTGTCAGCCAGGCTTCACAGGTAGGTGGTAGTCTCTATACCAGACCATGGAGGTTAAGAGGTTAAATACAAGAGGCCTTTTGATTTTAAACCTCCTTTGATTTTAAACCTCCTTGACGAGACTACATGTAACCACGCTGGCTATATATAGGAGAATATTTGCCAGGAGTTTGGCCGCATTGGGGTTTGACTGGCCGCGCAGTTAAACGGAGGGAAAGAAACTACCTCCCCGCGGCCGGACTCCCTTGGCCAATTTTACTCTCTTTTTTGCCGAATTCTACGATCCGTATTCCCGTAAAAAGGCCTTGTGGAGGCTGGGTCCAAAGCTCTACGTCAGAACAATTTCGAATTCTCTCAACTTATATGGTGATCTTATGGCGGAAGAAAACTTTTGACTCTAAACATGTAACCAACACAAATGAACTTTCATGATAGTTTAACAAGAGATGTCTGTCCCCTGTCAGGTATGGTGTGCGAAACCCCGTTCCCGACCTCCTGTGACGTCACCAGCTGTCAGAACGGGGGCACATGTACCAGCATGCCTTGCGACGGGTTCCCGATCGGCGAGTGCCCGGATGAGAGCTGGTGCACATGCGCAGCAGGGTTCACGGGCTACACCTGCGAGTTTCTGTTCGGCACCTGTGACGTCAGCAGCTGCCAAAATGGCGGAACGTGCGAACAGGTCACGTTCGAGAGTTACTACTCCTGCAACTGCCCCGCGGGTGAGGACATAGGTGTAAACTACTCTCAAAGCGGAGGTTTGAGTTTTGGCCTATTTTTGGCGTGTTTTTGCCTTTTTTTATCAGGGTTATTATTATATTATTATTTTATCCGGCTTATTTTTATTCAGCGCAAAAAAAAAAAAA